TGAGGAGATGGAAGCTTAGGAAGGTTAACTGACTTGCCCAGGGTCACACAGCTAGAAAGTGGAAGGGCAGAGACTTGAAACCTAGAGTTCATGCTTTTCCTGTGAAGGAGAGGAGGGCAGGTGTTGCCAGAATCTGTCTGACAGATACAGCCACACAGAGAAGTTCAGACCTTCTTAATATCACACAGCAAGTTTCAGTGAGTTGCTGAGATTAGGACAGGGGTCTTGGATTTAGGTATTTCCCTTAGACAGTCTTCCCCTAACCCCTTCCCCCATTGGAGCTTTCTGGGTCCTATCCTTCCCCCACCTCCAAGCCCAAATTGGGGCTGTGTCCCATGCACCCACCGTGGTGGTAGAGGTGAGGCGGCGGGATAAGATGGGGCACTGGTCTGTGGCAGTGACGATCAGGGTGTAGCGGCCATGGCTGATCTCGTAGTCCAGCTCCTTGGTGGCACTGATGACACCCTAGGGACACATGGAAGGGACAAGGATGGATCTAGGGGTGGTGGGTCTGGGGCACCCTCTGACCAATCTGGGAAGTAGGCCCTGACCTTGGAGCCATGATGGGGAACCCCTGCTACCCCTTAGCCCAGGATCCACTCCACCAAACTTTTCATCCTCCCACACTGAATGCCCCCATTGTTTCCCCTATACTGCATCTTTGCTCTATTCCCCCCACAGTGTCACTGAGCTCCTCGTCCATCCCTGGAGAGGCTTCGTCCCTTGTCCTGATCCTGCCATCAGCTGCTGACCGTGTATCTGTCGACGTGGAAGGTGTTGATGATGTTGCCTGCGACGATGGCATAGGTGACTGTGCCATTGGGCCCCTCATCCAGGTCCAGTGCCTGGATGGTGATGAGGCTGGTGTTGAGCGTGTCTGGGCCCTCATCCAGCAGCACCTCATAGTGGGGCTGCTGGAACACAGGCGCGTTATCATTCTCATCCACAATGGTCACGTACACGTGTGTGGTGGCCTGTGGAAAAGAGTGGGTCAGGTCCTTGGTTAGGTGGCCAGAAGGATTGGGGTGGATCCAGATGGTTGCTCTCTTGGGCTGAACTCACTCCATGTGACTCACACAGGAAGGCCAAGGGAGAAGAAAGCAGTGGGGAGGTCACAGGCTGTTAGAGGAAGAAAGCTCAAAAGCTGCACCAGAAGCCAAGCAAGGTAACTGCTCTGTCCAAGACGGCACTTGCACCACCACTCCTACATCTGTGTTCACAGCAGACATCACTAATCAATCACAGAACTGCTGAGGCAAGATGCAAACTTGGGATCCTTGTTAGCACAGTGGTCTAGTGATTAAGACTGGCATATGGGATGACTCTGGTAGTCACCCCAGCCCAGAGCTTTACCAGGGCCAGCGTCTTATTGAGCCTAGGTGTCCCGTTAGACTATAAGAGGCAAGAATGTGAGGCATTTGGCCCAATGCCATATTTAAGCTTCATCTATTGTTCATGTAAGTGAAATAAATACGTATCTTCAGCATTTTCAAAAGGAGGACATTGGGTTTGTGGCAATTTTGTGGGCAGAATTTGCTGACCTGTGGATAATAAGACTCACAGAACATAACTTCATTGCAAGAACAGCTTCTACAACATGCTCTCCTGTGATCGGCCATCTCTGCCAATGCTTGGGGTCATCTGAACCACAAGTAATATTCAGCCAATCAGAACTCAGCAATCAGTGCTCAAGAACCAACTAGAAATGGTTCTCGCTCCCTTTCCCTGCCTTTCTCCATCGAAGATGTTCCCTGTGGACTGACTGCCTTACCTGGGCTCCCTTGCTATCCAGCTTCCTGAAGGGCTTGGCCAGTGGGAGGCCCTGGCAGAAGATGAAAGCAGGGAGGAGAAAGAGGCAGGGGTGTTTCTTCCACACTCCCTCCATTCCTCACTGTGGTTCTGCCCATGGCTGTGTTTCTCCTGCTTCGCGGCGGGGGTCCCCCTTTCGTAGCACTAGCTTTCACTGGGCTCCAGAACATTGCTTCCTCTTTTTTCCCTTTGGACACGTGAGTGGTAGTGGCTTCCTGTGGTTGGATGCTAGTCTCTGGGTGCTTCATCAGCCCTCCTAAACAGTCCCTGTATTAAACTATCTTCAGTTGAACCGTTTCTGAGTGTGCTATCTGTTTCCTGCCAGGACCCTAAATAATACAAACCATAATGAGTGACTAATATAAAATAAGGTGATAATCACTGCAAAGACGTCTGGGTAGAGAGAATGTGACTAGGCCATTGCCAGGCCAGAGAATAGAAAGCAGGCGGTAAAAACAACTCAATGTAGGCAATTCGCATATAATTTTTTCCTTAGGACTGGCTAGCTCTGGAGCTACCAACGGAAGGATGGGCAGATGGGCAGGGGATCTGGACCCAAGAAGGCTGTCCCTGCCCCTGGGGAGGCAATGATTCCTCTGAGACGCAGCTCTGGATCTTGGGGGTGGCAGGCATTGGGCGTTTGCTGAAATGGTTTCCAAAGCAGGTAGGGATGGCAACCTTGAAAAGGCGCTGTGTGACCTTGGGCAGGTCACATCCTCTCTCTGGACCTTTTCTGTCTGTTAATAAAGGACCTGGCTTGATTTCTAAATTTGTTTCTAGCTCAGATGTTGTGAGCTTCTGGTCTGCTGTCATCAGCTAAGTGGACTGAAGCCCACCATTAGGGAGGCATTCCTTTGGGTTGCAGGGTCTCAATGAATCTTAAAATAACATGCTCACAAGGAGGAAAATGCATTATTTAGCATTTCTCAAACTTTTCCACTAGAATGGAGGCGGAACTTGCACATTCTGAGGACTGCCCTAAATGGTTTGCCTCCAGAATGAAATATGTTTGCAATCTCTCATGTTCTCTTTGAAAGCTCATGTGGATTTTGCATCTTTCTCCATTGTGTGTTTGTGCTTGTTTTCATTAAAAAATAGCAGTGGAGGCCCCAAATATTCAAATAAAGATGACTGTCAAGGAAGGCCACCATGCCCATCTGTGGCTCTGCAGGGCCTGGGGGCAGCTGTGAGTACTCACGAATGGTGAGGGGCTCAGCCTTTAGTCCTCCTGAGCCTCCTTACCTGCTGGCAAGAGTACAAGAGGGCCACCTTGCAGGAAAGGGGCTGAATTTCAGCCTCCCTGTTGGGGAGGGAGTGCTGACATTTCTCGCTTTCCCAAACTCACCCTCAAGACCCACTGGAAGTGGGTCCAACCATTGTGCAGGCTGCAGGGGCTGGGAGTGGAGGGGTTGAACAGAATTGTGCCTTAGAGCTCTCCTGCTCTGAGACCAGGTCTGGGCTTGGTGAGGGAAGGTGGGTTTGAATTTCTCTGGTCTCTGGAAGGAGGAGAAAGTCTGTGCTCCACAGGCCCTCTCAGCTGAGCCCTTCCTGTCTTGCCTGGTGTTGAGGAAACAGTGGTTGAGGTTTCTGGATCATGGCCCTTGGGCAATGCCTGTGTCTCTCCCTGATGCAACCCCAGGGGGCTCAGTAGACAGCAGAATGGTGGGGAGAAAGGAGGTGGAAAGGGGGAGGGAACTAGCCCCCTGGGGGAAGAGGTTGGCAGGGCAGTTGCTTCCCTCTCTCTAATTCTAGGCTCTCCTCGGCTGCTAGGCCCTGGGGCAGAGGGAGTCTGGTTTCAATGGTGGCCTGGGCAAGGCCAGTCCAGGAAGGGTTGAGATGGGGTGGTGCTCTAGGGTCTCACTCTTAAAGGACCTCACCTCACTTTTGCTAGAGGATGTCAGGGTGAGAAGGGCCCAGTGTCCACTTTATCTCAGTTGGCTTTGTGGCTCCCCTGGTGGAAGAGAGCTCACACTGTGCCAGCAGGAAGGGCCCTGGGCTGCTTCCCGAGGTGGGGTCACAAGGCCAGGGGCATGCCCAAGGACCAGGGTTGTCCTGGCAGCATCTGGGGCTCCCATCCTGGGGGAGTTCCCTGGCTCCAGGAGGGCTGGGCCTGCACAAGGTCACTTAGTAATAACATGATTCACCAGCCGTCCTCTGTTGTAGCCTTCCCTGCCCTGAGAGCCAGGGCTAAGGGCCGCCAGAGAGCCTATGACTTGGATCAGGCCACCCACAGGGCCCCAGAATGCCTGGCTCCCATTCAGCCTTCCCATTCAGTTCCTGACCCAGTCTGACTCTGGCTGTCCTCTGCTCCTCGGCCTAGGAGTCACCTATGAACCCAAGACCCCTAAAGGGCCAGAAAAACCACAGGAAGTTTCAGCTAGACTGGGGTAAACTGAGTAAAACGGCTGTGCTCTCCCACTCCTGCAATCCCTGGTCCTGGCCACGATCACCTCCACTCCTCCATCACACTCATTCATTGGTTTGTCCATTCAGATAAAGGACAATAAACACCTTCTCCATGCCCAGCTTTGTGCTAGGGACTCAGAAACATCAGGGAGAGGCTTGGAGGGCAGAAAAGCCAGAAGAAAAACCCACTAGTTGATTAACTCAGGCTGGAGGTGGTAGCCAAAGGGGGTGTGGACACTAAGGATTTGTGGGGGAAAAGGAAGGGTCAGGACATTTTGTGCAGTGGGAGGACCTGAGCTGAGCCCTGAGGGATGGGAAGAATTTGGGGAGGAGAGACTTCCCAGTGGTGCCAGCAGTGCTGGGTGCGGGTGCAAGAGCAGAGGCATTAGACGTGAGGGTGCATCAGAGTAACCTGCAGATATCCAGGCACTAGACGGGAGGGCCCGTGCACAGCCAGGTGGACAGCTGAGGCCTCTTCAGGACAGGAACTTGCAGGATACGCTGTGGGGCATCCCAACAGGTGTTGCCTGCATACCTGTGTGTGTCCTGGAGCAGTGATCCTGGTGTGTAGTCCTGCACCTATTTTGTGTGTCTGTGTGCACGCACTCAAGATGCCTCAGGCTCTGAATCTACAGTTAAACTGGCTCCAACTTGCCTAGCTCTTCACAATGTCAGATTTCATCCACTCACTCATTCCACAACCGGGAGTGCCTACCACATACCAAGCCCTGATCTGGCTGGAGGATGTAGGGTACAAGTCTCTGTCCCCTGACCACTCAAAGGCTGGTGGGTGAGGGGAGATGCAAGCCAAGTCTATCACGCTGTTCGAGAGTGATCGACTTAGGCTGCGCAGCAATAATAATCTTTTCTCTGGGCTTGAAACTGCCAATCAAGTAGAGCTGACTCGCTGGGACGCAAGCTGGCTCTCCACCCACGGGGCCGGCCTCAGGGAAGCCCCTCCCACGGGGCCTTCGGAGAGGCAGTTCCCCCCACGGCCTCCCGGGGGCGCTGCGGGGGGGGGGCCCTGGAGTGCGGCGCTGGGGCCGCCCGCCACGCTCACTCGCTCGCACTCACTCGCGGGAGGCTTCCCCGCGCCGGCCGCGTCCCGCCCGCTCCCCGGCACCAGAAGTTCCCCTGTGAGTCCCACGGCGACATGGGCGTCCCCACGGCCCCGGAGGCCGGCAGCTGCCGCTGGCGCTGGGTATTCCTGCTCTTTGCTCTCTTCCTGGCTGCGTCCCGAGGTAAGGTTGGGGAGGCGGGGCACTGGGGAAGAGCTGGGAGAAAACAGCAGACCAGCGTGGGAACTGCGGGATGGGAGCGTCCTGGGAGTCCTCTCAGCCTGCGTGACCGTGCACCCCACTCTACCCACCGCCCAGAGGCTGCTGGGACCCCTGGCCAGGGCGCAGTGGCAACTGCCAAGTGCCCCAGCTAGGCATTGGGCACATCTGCATGCTCTGACAGCTGCCCAAGTGGCAGGCAAGGCTGTACCCTGAGGGCTGCCTGTCCAACCCTTCCCTGAACAGAGAACCCTGGGGCACAGGTAGCTTCTGCAGAGGAGGAGAGGCACAGGGTGGGGGAGGTCAGTGTGTTCTAGTGGACGTCACTAGCTTTTGACAGCCGGCATCCAGACTGACTCTCAAGTCTCAGGGCTCCAGCGTCTCAGAGCACACAGAGGATGTGGTATGCTCAGGCAGTGCCCCATGCCCTGGCAATGCCCCTGACTGAGCCTTGGCGAGCACTGGTCACAGTGAGTCCACTTTCAGACACAGGAAGAACTGCCCACCTGGTCCCTATTCTAAGGGTCTGATGGCCCAGGAATAAGTGGTCAGCTGATTCCTACCATCCTAGCAAGGCTGCCACTCAGAGGCCAGTGTGGGGCACTGAAGAGGGCGTGGGACACTCTCCAGCTCAGCCACGAGCCCCTTCTGGGTCCCTGGATAACTTATGGCATCTCTCTGGCCTCAGTTTCCTTGGCTTAAACACAGAAACCCACATAGGGAAGCACCACTTTCTCCATCCAAAGTCCAGATTCTCATGTCAGCATGTTCATATATAGTATCCTGGCCTGAACGCAGGGACTCCCGGGCTGGGGGCAGAGGCCCTGGTACCCATGGCCTGGTGCCTGGTTCTTCCCTACCCAGAGCTGAAGAGGCTGGATCTCTTCAAAGAGCCTGTGGAACCAAACTTTATGGGGAGGACCCAGGGAAAGCATGAGTCATGCAGGGACTCAGAAGGAGGCAGGAGGGGGGTGGAGGGCTTGGCAGAGGGACCCAATGGGCGGGATTGGAAGAGAAGGAGAAGGGGATGGGATAAGAGGATAAGAGGGAGAGGAGGAGGCTGAACCTGGAAGATACCTCAGAAACAAGCTGGGTGCCCCCAGGCTGCAGGCTGTCTCAACACTGGGGGGCTGGCCTGGGCCTCTGAGGAGGAGGAGGGCTCCACATCCCACAGACACAGCTGCCTAAGACCCAGGGTGATGCTCCTCAAGGTGACAGCCAGAGGGAAGTGGAGAAAAGGAGGTGAGTGGGTAGTCTTAGCACCAAGGCCATGGCTGAAGGCAGGGCATGGCTTCCAGAAGGAGCAGGGGATGGCGGCAGGCAGGCAAGCCAGCATCCCACCTGTCATGGGCCACCTGCCCTGCCCTGCCCTTTCAGGTGATCCTGTGAGGCCCATCCTGCTTTCTTGCTCACTTCCTGCCCTCACTTGGCTGGGTTACCCTCTGTTCAGCAGCCCCAGTTTGGGAAACAGTTCCAGAGAACCAGGGCACAGGGACCAGCTTGTGGAGCACCCAGTAGCAGAAAGGCCATGAGAGGAGCTCAGGACGCTTCCCCCTATATTGCTTACACGGCCAGGGGCCTTTACTCCCAAAGGTCTTGGCTACTCAAACAGCATGGTACACGAAAGGGCCATCTCTTCCTGGGCCCAGCATAGGGAGATGAGTTAGGCTTGATGCAGCTTTCCACAGAAAGGAGCCAGAAGTATTTGAATTGCTCTGGGACTCAGTATTCTGAACTGTCATATGGACACACTATAATAGGTATTCACCCAACTCCCTAGGACAGTGTGCACCGAGGGAGAGAGCAGAGGGGAGGCCTGGTGGCAGGCGTGGTCAGCAGGATCTGTACGCTGAGATGGCTCACCAGCCTGCCGAGGTGCTAGGTTGCCCTGGGTGTGACTGTCCAAGGTCAAAGCCTTTATGCCTGGGAAGGTGAGATAGAGTGGCTGGGGCCAGCCTGTTCTCCAGTTCTTGGGGTTGGGCCAGCTCTAAGGAGAATGGTAGTGATGAATGTGGTGTTCAGAAGTCCAGGAAACACCAAAGATACCCCTTTCCTGGGCCTGACTCAGGATGAGATGGGAGGAGGGGAACACTATGGACCAGGACCCAGCAGACCTCAAGGGTGGCAGAGCCTCTTCTTCCCCACAGACATTCCCAGGACCTGTGGCAAGTACTGTCCTTGCCCTGTCCTCACAGGCTGACTCAGGAGTCCCAACCTCTGGGACTAGCACATTCAAGTTCACTGGGGTGCGCTGGGGCTAGGGACGAGAGACCCATCTTCCCCTTGACAGCAAACCAGGCTGCAGGGTCTTGTTGAGCAACTTGGTGCTGCAAACCTCTGACACAGCAATGGTCAGCTCTTAGGAAATCCACAACCCACTGCCCAGAGGCTCCAGAGTAGAGAGGAACAGGCTCGAGGCCAGTCCCTGGCATGAAGGGGCATCTACCCAATGCCAGGGGATACCAAGGGCCAGCAATACTGGGAGCCCCTTGCTGAGCTGTACTGGTTGTTCATGTTTCCTCCCAAGCAGGGCAAAGGTTCTGCTGGGGTCTGCCCTTCCTGGGAGAGGGTAGTCCAGGCAGGAGTGTGCTGCTGAGAAGCTCAAGGGGCCACCTCCCTATCTGCACACAGTGCATGGGGTCTTAGGATTGAGCAGATGGAAGGAAGAAAGAGGTCCTCAAGGAGGACCTGCTGGCAGTGACTGAGCCCCACATACCAAGCTTGAGGCCCCAGGCTTTAGCCAACCAATGATGCAGGGTCAGTCTGGTCTCCCAGGGTAGGGTAAGCCAGGGATCAGCCCTGTGGCTTTCAGTGGTCCCATGGATGCCCTTAGCAGCAGTCCTGGCATGCCTGTGTACAGCCAAGCCAGGGACCTGAACGCCAGGGCTTCTGTACAGCCCCCCACTTAACTCTTGGGCTTTGTGAGTCACTCAGACCTCAGTTCAAATCCCAAGATACCCATTTACTGCACTGTGACATTGGACAAGTTATTCCGTATCCCTGAGAAAGTTCCCCTATCTCTAAAATAGGGATGAAGACACCACCTCCCTTGGAGGGCCACTGTGAAGAGCCAACGAACGAACACTTAGCACCCGCTGCTCGTGAATACTGTGTAACATTATGGTATTTCTTGGCTTCTGCAGGCCACAAGCCACTGGCTTTCTATCTAAGCTGTTTGCTGCCTATGAGGCCTTATGGAGTGCCCAGGGCCTGGGAAGGCATTGGTGAGCTTCACTGGGACTAGATTCTCCTAAGCCTGGAGTGTGAATGGTGCATGGGCTAGATCCAGCTACCTGTGAGCTCCTATAGGCCCTCATAGTCTGCAATGCCCATGGAGGTGCCTGCAGGTTCTCCTCTTAAAGTTGTCCAGAGACAGGGACATTGCAACTTGAAGGCAAGCCTGATCTTGGGTTTGCTTATCTTGGTGGGATCTTCCTTACATCTGATCTTTTTACATCCAGTCCATTCACTTTGGCTGGCCATCCCCAAAGACAAAGAAAGAGCATCCCCAGTGAGGTTGCTCTGCTACTTACCAAGCCAAGCAAGCCCATTCCTTTAACCTTTCTCTGCTGTTCACTCATCATGGGAACACAAACACACACTTCCCCTTTGTCTGTGCAAGGGACAGGTTGGGTGACATGGTCTCAGCGAGGCTGGCCACCCCCACCCCCCTCTGAAGGGTAATTCCATGACGGTGTTTCCCGAGCTTCAGTCATTTGCTTAACACCTTTGTGATTTCTGCAGTGTCTGCCTTTCATCGTATTTACTTTTTTTTTTTCTTTAAATCTATTCATTCTTTTATTTGAGTATGTAGACTTTTAAAAGGAAACTTTATATTGCTGTCATTAATGGAAAGCCAGTATCACTCGTCATAAATAGAACAAAAGCATAAAAGTACGTAACAGGAAATCCATATAAGGGTATTAAATTCTAGTTGGAAACTTTAGCCTGGGGAGGCTCTGAGTCTGAAAATTGCTGCTGTCCCGCAAAAAATTATTATAAAATAAAATTTAAAAAGAAAAGGAGATTAGAGTGAGAGATGTTTTAGAGACGTATTAGCATCAAACTGGGACTTTCTCTTTGATGTGATCAGGACTGAAAGACTTGAAAAGGGAATAACCTCTTCTGTATATGATTCAGTGTTATTTAATATAAAACCAAAAGTAAAACTATCTTTGTGACAGACGTGGCCGGGTAAGCTGGGCTTTCATTGGTCATGACATCTGTCCATCTTCAGGAAGGAGGTGGGGCCTCCAGTCAGTCCTCAGCTACCTCTAGTTTCTAGAAAGTAGTCAGATGGCACCACACCTCTGGAGGCTAACTACCAGGGTTCAAATCCTGGCACTATCACTTATTAGTTGTGAGGCTTTAGGCAAGCTACTAATCTCTCTGTGCTTCCATTTTCTCATCTGAAAAATGAAGATGATACTAGTACCTACCTCATAGGATGGAAGGATTACATAAACTAATCCATGTGAAAGTGTTTAGAATGAGGTCGGGCATGGTGGCTTATACCTGTAATCCCAGCACTTTGGGAGGCTGAGGTGGGAGGATCTCTTGAAGCCAGGAGTTTCCAGCCAGGAGACCAGCCTGGACAACATAACGAGACCCCATTGCTACAAAAAATTTAAAAATTACCTGGGCGTGGTGGCATGTGTCTATAGTCCCAGCTAGTTGGGAGGCAGGGGTGGGAGGATGGGAGGATGGCTTGAGCCTAGGAGTTCGAGGTTACAGTGTGCTGTGATCTCACTGCCACTGCATTCCAACCTGGGTGAAGAACAAACCCTATCTTTCTAAAGAAAAGCAACAAACAGCTGGGCGCGGTGGCTCACACCTGTAATACCAGCACTGGGAGAGGCTGAGGCGGGTGGATCACATGAGGTCAGGAGTTCAAGACCAGCCTGGCCAACACGGTGAAACCCTGTCTCTACTAAAAATATAAAAATTAGCCAGGCATGGTGGCAGGCACCTGTAATCCCAGGTACTTGGGAGGCTGAGGCAGGAGAATCGCTTGAACCTGGGAGATGGAGGTTGCAGTGAGCCGAGATTGCACCACTGCACTCCAGCTGGGCCATAAGTGAGACATTCTCAAAAACAAAACAAAACAAACAAACAACAACAAAAACCCAACCAACCAAACAGGTACTTAGAATGATGCCCAGTACAGAGTAGTAGGGGTCAAAAAGACTTGAGCTGGACCCTGAGGATGTGTTCACCGCATAGAAGCATGAGGGTAGCTGGCTGGAGCGGAGAGCCTGGGCTGCACACAGTCCTCCTCCAAAAGGGCCTGGGGAGTCTGGGAGGGCGTCATCCACAGAAGCATCCACAGGCCAGGACCTCTGGCCAGCTGCCCAGGCCCTCCCTGGGGAGGTATGCTAGCCTCCAGCTCCAGCCCTGGATGCACAGACGCTTTCCCAAGGTGCTGGAAGTGCCGCTTCCTCCAATAGAGCCTGGCTTCCCCTTCCCAGCCCCGTTGGTCTGATGTGAATGGATACTTCCTGCGGGGGCAGGTATCAATAAACACATCTGAGATGCCCTTTGTCCTCACTGGCCAAAAAGCCCCAGGGCAGACTTGCTGCTTCAGGCCCTCAGTCTTTGCCTTTCGAAGACGCTTCCTTTCTTAGCCCTGGCAGACCCAGTCCTGATTGGTCCCTGCCTCTGTTTCCCTCTGCATCTTGATAAAGACAGAACTTAGACTTTTCCTACAGCCCCAGTCCCAGCCTGTGGACCATCCTGGGGGATGGGGCCTGGCAGGGAGCTGGAAACAGGTCCCATTCTCTTTGAGATGTCCTGTGAGACCAAGGACGGGACCTTTTGCCAACACCGGCAGGCAATTAATAACTGTTTACTTGACAACCCGTAGCAGCTGGTCAGAGTTCAGCTATTTGGGTGGGGCCTCCTAGGCTCAACTAACCAAGCTTGGGTCCCACCTCCAAAGACTGGGCCGTTGCCTTGGCGACTGTGGGCTAAGCTCACGCCCCGTCAGGAAAAATACTCAGGCCTGTCCACACCCACACACACCCTTCCCGTGCACACCCACAGGGGTCACCCGGGCCTGCTGGGTGGAGAGGGGTGAAGGTCACAAAACTGGCATCCTGAGGAGATGACAACAAGAGCTCCCTTCCCTCCCTTGAACTGGGACAGAAACATCTGAGGGTGCCACAGCTAGACAGCACAGGCGCAGGCCCAAGTTCTGGGCAGACGTCACTGATGGAACTTTGCATTCCCACAGCCTCCCTGCCTGGGCCTGGCTGATGTTAGGACCTTGGTAAATATTTGTGGAATGAAAGAATGATGTTTTCAGCTTGGGTCTAAGGCATAGAAGGGACATTGCATGGAGGGCGTGGAGGTCAGTGCACGGTCAGGGCATTCTCTGTAAATAGCTGAAGGATGAGGCATCAGCCTCGCCTGCCCACTGGTGGGTTCTAGAGAGGTTGGGGGCTCTTCCTGTCTACAGGGCTGGCCTGTTTAAGGTGTGAATCTCAGCTCACCCACACAGGGCTGTGTGGCCTTGGGCAAGTCACTTGACTTCTCTGAGTCTGTTTCCTTATCTTTAAAACGGGGATGATACCACCTATATTGGGGTGTTAATGAGAATTAGATGAGACAGGTATAAGATGCTCAGCAAGTGCCTAGCACATAATACATGGTCATAAGACAGCCTTGGCCGGGCGCAGTGGCTCACGCCTGTAATCCCAGCACTTTGGGAGGCTGAGGCGGGCAGATCACAAGGTCAAGAGATCAAGACCATCTTGGTCAACATGGTGAAACCTCGTCTCTACTAAAAATACAAAAATTAGCTGGGCAAGGGGGCAAGTGCCTGTAGCCCTACCTGCCCGGGAGGCTGAGGCAGGAGAATTGCTTGAACCCAGGAGGCAGAGGTTGTAATGAGCTGAGATAGCACCACTGCATTCCAGCCTGACAACAGAGTGAGACTCCGTCTCAAAAAAAAAAAAAAGACAGTTCTTCTCTCCTGCCCTCAGGATTTCAGAGTTGGAGGGGGCCTCAGGAACCTGGGACAGCCCTCAGGTTAAGATGAAGAAAGGGAAGCTCAGAGAAGGGCGGGACCTGCCCAGGGGCACACAACAAGGGCACAGCTAAGTGGACACTGAGGCCCAAGGACCTTGCAGCCCCAGCCAGAGTTTTACTCTTGAGACTCAGGCTTTCCCAGGTTCATGGTGTTCTTCCTGCAGGTGCCCCTGCCTCCTTACCTAGTGGCAGGTGGCAGGTGGGGGGTGCTGGGTTTTGACAGCAGCACAGGGACTGGACAGTTCCCACCTGGCACATGCTCAGCCCAGGCCCCGGGTCATTTTCCTGTCCCACATGCTCTCGGCCACCCTGGAGCCAGGGGCCTTCCTCCCCACCCACTTTCCCCGGTCTCTGACAATGACCCAGGTGTCTGAAAGGGTCTGTTCCTGACAATAAGCAACATCCTCTCGCCAAAGCATTATAATTTTAGTCAGGCTGCACAGACGCCCTGACAACACGCGTGCACGTGCACAGGCGTGGAGGCCGAGGGGTGCATGCAGGCCCTTCTGTGTGGCTGTGTGCTGCCTCTCCCCCAGTGCCAGGCCTTCGAGTGTCCTCCCAAGGACAGGCTGCTGTCTCCTAAGGTGTGTGTGCTGGTGGTACATAAATACCACCAGAGCTGGCCCTGGAGTTGAATTCAGCTCCCAGCCTGGGGTGGCTCTGGGGTAGGAGGCGATGTCAGCTGGCCTTGGCCCAGCTGGAGTCTCAGACACAGTAAACGGGATGTTTCCTGGCCCTCCCTCCCTCCCCAGGACAAAACCCTTGGTCCTCTCCTGTTCAGCCCTCTTGCCTGAAACTGAACATCCTCCCCTGCTGCCCAAACTTGAATCCTAAGGCAACTTCTCCTTTTCTCTAAACGGGAACAGGTCCTTTGGGACCTATGGGATGGGTGGCCAGTGTGTGGGGGATGGGGAGGTGTGGGGGATGGGGAGGTGTGGGGGATTGAGCAATGCCCACTCTCAGGCCCTCCCTGAACTCTGCTTCTCTCTGTGGCCCCCCTTGTGTCTCAAGGAAGTTGCCTCCAGGGCTGAACATCCCTTCCCCACTGCTGCGGGTGCTACGGGTACAATCCGGGGGTCATTAGACCCTGATGGCTCCCAGCCTGGTGCCCTGCCCCACCTTGCTCACAGGGACACAGGTGAGATGCTTGCTTTGGCCACTACTTCTACTCTGCCTGCCCTGCCCCACCCGCCCTGCCTGCAGCCCCGCCTCTGCTGAGCCAGCCCTTCAGGCAGCCCCCGAGGTGTGTGTGCTGGTGGTAAATGAATACCACCAGAGCTGACCCTGGAGCTGAATTCAGCTCCCAACCTGGGATGGCTCTGGGGTCGGAGCGAAGTCAGGCAAAGGGAGAAAGGGGCAGAAGCTGGGGGAGGTGTTGGTGGGACCTGCCACACGGCCTGCTGGGGAAGGGGGCAGCACAGGGCCCACTCTTGGGGCGGGATTTGGTTCTTCCTGGGAGCACGTGGGAGAGCCCTTTCCCTAGGTCCTCCCTACTTCTGTTTCCTGGCTGAGCCATAATTTTGCAGCTGCACCCACTCCTCTCAGGTGTGACGGGGAAGTCCAGGCCAGCACAGACAAAACCAGGGGCAGAGCCAAGCTTCCTAGGGCTCCTTTTCCACTGAGCCTGCTGCCAGGGGTAAGGGCAATGGGTTAGCAATCAGGGGAGAGTTGGCTAGTCCCTGTACTGCCAGGCTTCCCCTGGGGACTGTGGGTGGATCGTCTCTTCTCTGAGTCTGCGAGTCAGATTTGTAGCATAATGGGTTTGGGCAGTAGAGTCCCAGGCCAGCTAGCCCAAGGAGCCACACTCATTCATCACAAACTCAAATATCCATGGGGCCAAGAAACCAGGGTGAGAGAGTGGTTTTTGAGAGGTGGAATTATTGGGGAATAGTAGGGACTGTGGCAAACTGGTGTGCCGGTGTCCCCCAAAAGCTGCTACTGAGCTCCAGCTGACAGTTGCCCTGTGGGAAAGCTGGTTTTGCATTATCTTCTGACTTTCTAAGGAGAGCTGGAGATCAGAATTTTCATGTCAGATTCCTAGTTCTTAAATGTTGCAATGTCAAGAAAATTAAGATTTTGAGGATCAAATGAAATATGTGTGAAGGTTAGATGTGGCCTGTAGGCTTCCAGTTTCTGGACGTTTTTCTTTTTTTTTTTTTGAGACGGAGTTTCACTCTTGTTACCCAGGCTGGAGTGCAATGGCGCAATCTCGGCTCACCGCAACCTCCGCGTCCTGGGTTCAGGCAATTCTCCTGCCTCAGCCTCCTGAGTACCTGGGATTACAGGCACGCACCACCATGCCCAGCTAATTTTTTGTAGTTTTAGTAGAGACGGGGTTTCACCATGTTGACCAGGATGGTCTAGATCTCTTGACCTCGTGATCCACCCGCCTCGGCCTCCCAAAGTACTGGGATTACAGGCGTGAGCCACCGCGCCCGGCCTGTTTTTCATCAGTATAGTGTCTACATGCCTGAGTTTAATTCTGACTCTAGGACTTGCTTGCTGGGTGATCATCAGTGAGTTACATAACCCTTCTGTGCCTTAATTTCTTCATCAGTGAAATGGGAATAAAAACAGTAACTTGGCTCGGCACGGTGGCTCACGCCTATAATCCCAGCTCTTTGGGAGGCCGAGGCAGGTAGATCACGAGGTCAGGGGTTCGAGACCAGCCTGGCCTACATGGTGAAATCCCGTCTCTACTAAAATACAAAAAATTAGCCAGGCATGTTGGTGTGCACCTGTAGTCCCAGCTACTTGGGAGGCTGAGGCAGGAGAATTGCTTGAACCCAGGAGGTGGAGGTTGCAGTGAGCCAAGATTGTGCTACTGCACTCCAGCCTGGGCAACAGAGCGAGACTCCATCTCAAAAAAACCAAAAACCCCAAAAAGCAATACCTATTACAGCATTGTTAGATATGTCCATGAAGCCCTTAGCATAGTGCACAATACATGCTGTGTCTTCTTCTTATTACGGTTCTACCGAGATCCTGCGTTACTGAAGTCCCCTCTGCTCCAGGCTTTGAGCTCATACCCTCTGGAACTCTGGAACTTCAATCCAACCACTTTCCCTTTCTGGGTCTCTGTGTTTCTGCCTGAAAAGAAGACCTGCATCTTGCCAAAGAAGTTCTGAAATCTCTGCTCACCCTGACAATGACTTTCCAAAAATCTGGGGCTCCGAGACTTGGCTCTCTCTTATATGTGGGCAGAGCGAATGTGTATCTGTCTTCCTCACCCTCCAGGGCCTAAAACTCCGCTCCTGCAGACATGCTGTTTGGGGCTTTGCTGCCTTCGGAGACTTTCCTATAAATACAAGTACCCCGGGATCAGATCACAAGTTATTAGTCATTCACACCTTAGCAGGAAAGACTTTAAGATGGCTTCTCCATCCCAGTGTGCTTCTCGCTCCTAGTAGGGGCTTCTTGACGTGCTGAATGAATTAGAGGCCTGTCTAGCTCCCAAGCACCAAGCACGGACTACTCTCATGGCACTTACAGAACACTTCATGTAAATTATTACTAACCCTTGCCTCAAGTCTGCCAGGGAGATGTTCTCATTTCTGTTTTATAGTGAGGAGTCGGGGCTCAGCATCTAAGTGGCTCACAGCTACTGGTCTAATGCAGGCTGGCCTCCCTCTTGACTGAGCAAGCTTTCAGCTCTTCCAGTGGGTCTAAGCCTGCTGCCGAGGGGCCTGGGCATTAAGGGCAGGGAAGGGGCATCTGAAGGAGGATGTGGTGATATCTTGGTTCTGGGCAATGCCCCTGGCTGGGGCAATGAAGAGGATATATCAGTTTGGATTCCGTACATAGTTCTAACCTTCCTTCCCTCTCTGCTCAACTCACAGCAGCCTGAGATGGCATTTAAAATAAAAATACCTCTGGCCAGATGGGGTGGGTCACACTTGTAATCCCAACACTTTGAGAGGTCAAGGTAGGAGAACTGCTTGAAGCCAAGAGTTCAAGACCAGCCTGGGCAACATAGGGACCCTGTCTCTACAGAAAATAAAAATAAGTTAACCTGATATGGTGGCATGCACCTGGACTCTCAGCTGCTTGGGAGGCTGAGCTGGGAGGACTGTTTGAGCCCAAAAGTTTGAGGTTACAGTGAGCTATGATTATGCCACTGCACCGTAGTCTGGGCAACAGAGGGAGACCCGGTCTCAAAAACAAATAAATAAAAATAGGCCGGGCAGGGTGGCTCATGCCTGTAATCCCAGCACTTTGGGAGGCTGAGGCGGGCAGATCATGAAGTCAAGAAATCGAGACCATCCTGGCCAACATGGTGAAACCCTGCCTCTACTAAAAATACAAAAATTAGCTGGACATGGTGGCACGTGCCTGTGGTCTCAGCTACTCAGAAGGCTGAGGTGGAAGAATCTCTTGAATCCAGGAGGCGGAGGTTGCAGTGAGCCGAGATTGCACCACCGCACTCCAGCCTGGCAACAGAGCAAGACTCCATCTCAAAAATAAATAAATAAATAAATAAATAAAATAAAATAAAAATAATACTAATGTATAATAATTGTAGCTATCCCTCAGATGTCTGTTGAGGGCATTACAGCTCATGTCTCGTGTTCTCGTCTTTCCCTCACCCAGTCCTCTCACAGCCCTGGGTTATGGCCAATAATTTTGTCATTGCACAGATGAGGAAACTGAGGTTCATGCAGCTAGACAGAAACATGGCTGCTGGCCCATATTCTGTTTTCAAAAGCTCATGCTTTCGAGGGTCAACCCAATTAAATGCTGGAGGACTGGGATAAGGCAAAGTGGACCGGGGATTGCTTCATTTGCTTAGTGAAAAAAACAAACAGAACTAAATGTTCTAAGGTTGGCTGGGATTAAGTGCATGGATGAGATGACCTTTGATGTCTTCTCTGTCCTGGTCCCTCAGACACTTTGGGTTTTCCCATTTTAACACTCCCTTGCCTAGGACACCTTTTTACTGGTTGGAATCCTATCTATGCACCAAGTCCAAAGACCCTCCCTCCTTTAGTAAGTCCCTGAGTGTCCCCAGAAGGCTGTTTTCTCCCTCCTCTAAGTGCTCTGAGGGCTGGCACTGGATTGCCTTTGCCATGGGGTTCTGCTGTTGTGAATGCAGGCCTAGTCTGCTCAACGGGAGGCCATGTATTCAGCATGCAGGTGAGATGCAGCACCCGGCCCAGGCCGTGCACACCAGCTGTAAGGGCAGGGAAGGGGCATCTGATGCTCTTGCTGCTCCCTGGTAAGGAGATGGGAAATCATGTTCAGTCCTAGGAGTGGGAAGGGGCAGAGCGGTTGACGGCCTCTACTGAGCGGCCAAGGACAAGGAGCTGCTGTTCCAAATAGCCTTTCTGCTCCCCAACCTGCCTCCCACCTAACAGGCTGGGTGCACACTCTACTGGGAAGAGAGACACACCCACCTGCATCGCTGTCCTCTAAGTCTCTCCCTGCCTTGTCCAGCATCCAGGGTCACCCCTAGTTGGGGAAGCTTCTGTGGCTCCCCCACAACAACCTAGAATGGAGTGGGGTTCATGAACAAATGCAGAAGCTGGCCAGGTGTGGTGGCTCATGTCTGTAATCCCAGCACTTTGGGAGGCCGAGGCGGGCAGATCGCAAGGCCAGGAGTTTGAAACCAGCCTGGCCAACAGGGTGAAACCCCGTCTCTACTAAAAATACAAAAATTAGCTGGGTATGATGGCGCACTCCTGTAATCCCAGCTACTCAGGAAGCTGAGGCAGGACAATCGCTTGAACTCAGGAGGCGGAGGTTGCAGTGAGCCAAGATAGTGCCACTGTACTCCAGCCTGGGCACAAAGCGAGACTCTGTCTCAAAAAACAAAAAAACAAAACAAAAAAAAACAACCAAAACCCAAAAAACAAATGCAGAAGCCAGGCTTGGGGAAGTCAACCAACGTGTCCCGGGCCTGTGGCTGGGGAGTAGCTACGGCCGAGGTTCTCCCTGCTCTGGGAGCACCAGGAGTAGTGCTGGCTCAGGCAGGTGACAGGGCTCTCCTCTCTTTGAGCAGGTCCGGTGGCAGCCTTCAAGGTCGCCACGCCGTATTCCCTGTACGTTTGTCCCGAGGGGCAGAACGTCACCCTCACCTGCAGGCTTTTGGGCCCTGTGGACAAAGGGCATGATGTGACCTTCTACAAGACGTGGTACCGCAGCTCGAGGGGCGAGGTGCAGACCTGCTCAGAGCGCCGGCCCATCCGCAACCTCACGTTCCAGGACCTTCACCTGCACCACGGAGGTCACCAGGCTGCCAACACCAGCCATGACCTGGCCCAGCGCCATGGGCTGGAGTCGGCCTCTGACCACCACGGCAACTTCTCCATCACCATGCACAACTTGACCCTGCTGGACAATGGCCTCTACTGCTGCCTGGTGGTGGAGATCAGGCACCACCACTGGGAGCACAGGGTTCACGGTGCCATGGAGCTGCAGGTGCAGACAGGTGAGGGCATCCTGCACATGGCAGCTGGGGAGTGTGCAAGGCTCCTGTCCGATGGTGTGACCATGCTGACACTGCTGGGCAGAGTGTGAGGCTGCATGGGTAACACTGGCACTCCAGGGAGTGTGTGGGTGAGATGGGTGGCCAAGGGTGCGTAGAGTGTGGGTGTGTAGTTAGCTGGAGTGGGGAGAGGGAGGGTGTACCTGGCTCCATCTGTGACAGTGAGACTTTTTCATGTGTGAGACTGTATGTACCTGGACTGGGAGTGTGCCTGCTCATGATGACATAGTGGCTGCCATGGGTATAGGCATCAGTGGGACTGATTGGTGCCCTGGGGCATGACTCAGTAGATGGCTGAATGGCTGTTGGGAATATATTTGTGTGTGTGTGTCTGTCTGCCTGTCTGTTCAGGTGAGAGTGCAAGGGCCCATGGTTCAGACAGAGGTGTGGGTGCCGGCGGGTACCCACATGCACCTGGGGGTGGCATGAGAATGGGCAGGGTTAGAACATGCCAGGGTACGTGTGTGGGTGCACATGTGTGCAGGCTGCCACTGGGCCAACACTGCCAAGTAGGCACTAGCGTGAGAACCTGCAGCAGGAGGGGGACGCTGGCCTGGACAAGCCTCCCTGGCCACCTAGGCCTGACACCCACCTAAAGGCCCTTCTGTTTGTTCCCACAGGCAAAGACGCACCATCCAACTGCATGGCGTACCCATCCTCCTCCCAGGAGAGTGAAAGTAAGGCACCATCCCCTTGCCCCTGCTGGGCTCTCTGTTCTCTTCTGTCCTCATCCTGCACCCAGACCCTGTTTGGAACTCTGGCCTCGTCAACCCCCGGTCCTCCTCCTCTGCTGCTGCAATCCTTTCTGCTTCCTCCTCGAGGCGGTCTCCAGAAGCGCATTCCCCTTCCATCTGCTCTGGAGTCTCTGCTCTTCTTGACTCCCTGGAGTGGCTGCGCCTTGGCAGTGACCTTTGGTCAGGGGAAGTGCCTCACCACAGGTACTGGGTGCCCCAGGCAGCTAAGTGCTGCTCTGCCCACCAGCCTCCTACAACTTGGGAAGGCTGGGGGTTCTCTTGGCCTAGGATTCAACTACTTCAGATTTCTGTGTTCCGTGTTTCTGTGTTCTTCAGGTGTTCTGTGTTGTAGGGGAGGGAGGAGGAAGAGGCTCAGGAAGGGGAACAGAACTACCTTTCCTGAGTTCCTACTGTGTGCCGGGCACTGGACTAAGTCCTTTTAAGTGTTATTATCTCAGGAATTTTTTCTTTTTTTTTTTTTTTTTTTGAGACACAGTTTCACTCTGTCCCCCAGGCTGGAGTGCAATGGCTTGATCTGGCCTTACTGCAACCTCCGCCTCCCGGAATCAAGCAATTCTCCTGCCTCAGCCTCCCGAGGAGCTGGGATTACAGGCATGCGCCACCATGCCTGGCTAATTTTTGTATTTTTAGTAGAGAGGGGTTTCACCATGTTGGCCAGGCTGGTCTCAAACTACTGACAAGTGATTTGCCTGCCTGAGGCTCCCAAAGTGCTGGGATTATAGGTGTGAGCCACCACGCCTGGCCTCACTGATTTTTTTTTTTTTTTTTTTTTTTGAGAAAGAATCTCGCTCTGTCACTCAGGCTGGAGTGCAGTGGCACAATCACAGCTCACTGCAGCCTCTAACTTCTGGACTCAAGTGATCCTTCTGCTTCATTCTCCCAGGTAGTTGGGACTACAGGCATGGACCACAGTGCCTGATGAATTTTTAAAAATTATTTTTGGGGTTAGGCATGGTGACTCATGCCTGTAATCTCAGCACTTTAGGAGGCTGAGGCAGGCAGGTCACTTGAGGCCAGGAGTTCAAGACCAGCCTGGCCAACATGGTGAACCCCTGTCTCTACTAAAAATACAAAAATTAGCCAGGCATGGTGGCGGGCATCTGTAATGCCAGCTACTTGGGAGGCTGAGACATAACAGTTGCTTGAACCTGGGAGGCAGAAGCTGCAGCGAGCCGAGAAGCACCACTACGCTCCAGCCTGGGCGACAGAGCGAGACTCTGTCTCAAAAAAAAAAATCATTTTTGGTAGAGATGGATTCTATGTGGTCCAGGCTGGCCTTGAACTCCTGGGGTCAAGTGATCCTCCCATCTTGGCCTCCAAAGTGCTGGGATTACAGGCGTGAGCCACCATGCCTAGCCTCAGGGAATTCTTTTTTTTTTTTGAGAGGAAGTTTTGCTCTTGTTGCCCAGGCTGGAGTGCAGTGGCGCAATCTTGGCTCACTGCAACCTCTGCCTCCTGGGTTCAAGAGATTCTCCTGTCTCAGCCTCCTGTGTAGCTGGGATTACAGGCACTCACCACCATGCCGGGCTGATTTTTGTATTTTTAGTAGACAGGGTTTCACTATGTTGGCCAGGCTGGTCTCGAACTCCTGACCTCAGGTAATCTGCCTGCCTCAGCCTCCCTAAGTGCTGGGATTACAGGCGTGAGCCACTGTGCCCGGTACCTCAGGGAATTCTTGTAAGAACTCTATGAAGTAGGGATCACTATCTTCTTTGTTTTCATGGAAAGAGAGTCCCAGACATATACACTAACTTGCCCAAACTCACATAGCCCAGAGCAGCATAGCTGGGATCTGGCTGCTGGCCTGCTTAGCTCTGCTTACTCACCTTCTTCCCAGCTTAGGGCAATCCAGTGGGTAGCAGGCATCCCCCAGTGCCTGCTCAGAGAGGTGCCCCACACGGTAAGGGGGCACTGCGCTAAGGGTGCCTGGCACTGAGAGGTTGGGTGAGAATACCCAGCAGCTTGGAGACAGAATGCAAGGGCACCTCCCTCTTCTGAGAAGATGTCTTGGCTTTCACAGCCCTCTATACCCAGTATATGTCAGGCATCCAGTGTGGACCAGCCCCTGCTAGGCCCTGGAGATACCAAGGCATCCAGGAGGACATGCACAAGGACCTAAGCTGGAATGGGGAACAGTTAAACCGTGGCCCCAACCAAACCCCAAGTCAAAGGCTGCAGTGACTTTTCACTCAGACTACCCTTTTTTCAAACCAACCAACAGGCCAAGAACAAAATCAGAACATGCATTTTGGTCTGAGCCATGTTGGCCAGGCTGGTCTCGAATTCCTGGGCTCAAGTGATCCACCTGCCTTGGCTTCCCCAAGTGCTGGTATTACAGGATTGAGCCACTGTGCCCAGCCCCAGCCCCAGCCTCTTAATGTTATCCTTGGGAAGTGAGAGTGTAGCTTGACTATGAAATAACATGAAAGTACAAGTTGGCCTGAGGCAAGGGAATGAGACTAGAGAAGTTGGTGCCCAAGGAGCTCCCGCATTGCTGAGGAGCCGTGGTTTCTTGGTAAGCTCAGAGAAGGGGGCCAGGCAGCTCATCTCCTTGTGGACCTCTTCCCATCCCCCAAACACAGCAGAATGTGCTGTCTGCTTTCACCCAGCATCCTTCCTGGGAAACCAGGCAGCCCAACGCTTAGCCGCGGAACTCCCTCCTCCACATATCCCCGTGGGCTACCAGGCAGGCCCCAGACAAAGGCTGCCTGAGCAGGCTAGGCCCCTCCCATCCCACTCTGCTGTGTCAGGGCCTGGCACACTCCTCAGTGTGGTGACGGCAGCTACCTCTGCCAGCACCTGATCACCTTCCCAGGATAAGCCTGGCTCTGAGTGGTGAGTGAGCATGCCTGCCCTCTGTGAGTGCCAGCCCAGGCATGGCCATGCTTGGGGGAGGGGGTGGGGAACCGTAGCATGGCTGAGCTCGCAGAGATGCCTATGGCTTCAGAGAACAGCTGGACCCACAGACCTGTCCCCAAACCTCTGCACCCCATTGCCCCAGTCTCAACTCAGCCCAGGGGGTAAGGAAGTGAAATTACGCCACAGAGGGGAAATCTCTACCTAGGGACACAAGTTAGGCAGGGATATCTGGCCAAGCCCACCTTCCAAAGGCAGATAGGGAACAGGAATCAGTGAGCATCTGGCAAAGCTCACAAAATGCTGCTTACTAACCGTCCAGAGGAGACCTGCTTTGATCACTAGAAGGGAGCGCTTTGCAACCAGCTTCTCAAATATTGCCCACGATAAGGTCCTTTGATGGTTTTGAAATACTGAGGTGTCTGGGTTATAGAATGTCTTCACTTTCAATATTCCACGTCAAAATGCAGCCTTGCTAAGATCTGCAGGGAACCTGCTGTAATGTAGAGCGGAACTTGCTATGTAATTAGCATAGCAACTGTTCCTGTACCAGTGGGTGCTTCTAAAGTGCCTGAAAACAGTTTGTACTCATTTGCGGTATGAACAAACCTCCTGAAAGCTTGTTTACACCATCGGATTGTGGAGCAAAACACACACAGCCATTATTCCCAAACAAACAGCGCAAAGGCAGCATTTAGACCACAGCCCATCTACCTCTCAAAGCCCTTTGGGGCGAAGTTGACACTGCGACAAGGTATCCCAGCCCATCTTTTGGCCCCGGGAAAGGCTAAAATTGGGAAGGAAATGAGTTTGTGTTGGTTGTAGTTCTGAGGGCACGTCTGCTCCCAGCTAAACTCCTGCAGTCAGCAGATGGCCTGAAATAAATCAAACCTCCCCATGCTGCTGCGACGGCGAAGCGCTACAACCTTTTTGGAGGGCAATTTAGCAATAGACTAAAAGAAAATGCACATACTCTTTGGCTCAGCACTTTGACCGCTAGGAATTTACTTACAGATGTACTTGCCAATGAGCCAGGATGCATGCACAAGTTCATTGCTACATTATTAGTTATGCTGAAAATGGAAACAACCTGTCTACCCATAGGGGACTGTGTCAATAAATTTAGTGGGAGCGATGTGATAAAAGCCCAAACAGAATGGGGTAGGTGAGACAAAGAGCTGTCCAAGCTGGTGGGAAAAGCATTGCCATATGATCGTGTATCTGCTGTATGTTCAGGGAACATAACTAGGACCACAACACGAAGGCCGCAGACAGTGATGATCTCTTTGGAGGGGGTCTTGGTACAAGGGGAGGAGGAGATTGGAATATTTTTTAAACTTGTCCTTTTTTGGTAATTTATTAAGTTTCAAATTGAAAAAACATTGGATAAGGATTCACGTTTTTCTAGGTCTCACCCCAGATGTTTTCCCTGTGACTTACGTGGTGAGATCAAGGGGTGGTGGGTTCCAGAGGCCTCATCCCAGAGCTAAGGGGTCTCTGGGGTGAGCTGGGGCTTTTTATCTATTATGGTAAAACATACATAATGTTAAAGTTGCCACTTCAACCATTTTAAACCACCAGTTCAGTGGCATTAATTACATTCATGATGTGTAATCGTCACCGCTATCTATTTTCTAAACTTTTCATTGCTTAGGCTTCTTTTGACCTTGAACTCTGTGGCGTGGGGTATGCAAAGGCCCTGCTTTCCCTTTTCAGGGTATAACCGGTAGCCAAGAGTAGACCAGTTGTCCCTTGTGGGCCGGGATGAGGACTCAGTTCCCTCTCTTGTATGAAGCTGACTCAGCTGTAGGTGACAGGCCTTGCTTCTGTGTGCTCCAGGTGCACATGGCAGCAGGCATGGGACTCTCTTTGAAAGGAGAGCCCCATATCTTCCATGCTTCTGCAGGTCGCTGGGGGTCTAGCTGTGGGACTCTGGGGGCGGGTCCCCCTGCTGCCTAGCCTTCCCTCCCCTCTCTGTGTCTCACTTTCCCCTCGGAGGAGCAGTGAGAATGGGGCTTCACCTTGGCTACCTCTCTGCCCTTTCAGACATCACGGCTGCAGCCCTGGCTACGGGTGCCTGCATTGTCGGAATCCTCTGCCTCCCCCTCATCCTGCTCCTGGTCTACAAGCAAAGGCAGGCGGCCTCCAACCGCCGTGAGTATCCCTAGCTGCCTGGGGTGGGTGGACGGTGTGAGTAACCTGCTCCAGCCCCCAGCTCAGCCTCTGGGGTTGGCAAAGGCATGATGCAGGCACAATTCCTTTCCATTTGCGAGTTGGGAGCTGCTGCACTTTGCCAGGAGCTGGGCGAAACGGCCGAGAAACAGGCGGCATGCCATTTCCAGGGGCCCGAGTGCCCACCCGCCTTTTTGGCTCCCAGGCAGGGCTGGCTCTGCACTCAATACAGGTCTTCTGAATGATCATACAGAGTGGCTCAAGTTGCTGTAGAAAAATGCTGCCACTCGGAGATCCTTGGGAGATCTGCTTTAAGGTATGGGTGTGCTTGTTTTGTAATTTGCAGCAATTGTTGGGACAAAAAATGACCTTTGGAGTGTCAGAAGTGGATAGGGTCTTAGAGATAACGTAGCTCAACCCTTTCTTTTTCCAGATGAGAAAGCTAAGAACAGTGGGGTTACGTAACTGACCAAATGTTACATGACTTAGTGAGTGGCAGAGCTAGGACTCGATCTCAGAGCTTTCAATGCATGCACTTTCCAGGGAGTAGAAGTCCACCAGATAACAAAAATGCTCTCACTTATTCCTCATTACCACTCCAAGAATTTGGTCCTACCATTGTCCCCATTTTACAGATGAGCAAATGGAGGCACAGAGGGTTAAGTAACTTGCCTAAGGAACCACACAGCAAATAAGTGGTGGGGCTGGACTTTAAGTCATGGGCACAGACATCTTTTACCTCCCACCCTCCCAGTCCAGGTGACAGTGCCCCTTGCCTGGTACCTGACCCCGCCCATGAGTCTTGGTGTTAGTCTGAGTCCTCCAAGAAGAAGCTAGGGAGTTTTTTGTCCTTGTCTCCCCTCCCTGGTCTCTTCCCTTCTGCCTGGTTAGAGAAGTAACTGAGAAAGGATTGCTCTGGCACCAGGTTTTTGGCTCACACCTGATTTCCTGTGGCCGGCCCTTAACAACTTCCATCCCTCCCTCCCCTCATTCCTGGGGTCCCTACATGGAGCCCCACAGTGGGTCGCTCGGGGGCTGTGGCCACCTCACCTTTGCTCTCAGAACTCCCCTGATGCTCTCCTGGAACTCACCACAACCTACCTGCAGGAATACCCATGGCTGGGGGTGGATAGGGTCAGGTAAAAGGCTTGGAACAGAAGAGGAACCCCAGGCAGCAGGGCAGGGGGAGTAGGTATTGCTGTGCCCTGGTGGAAGGCTGGCTCTGAGAGTGTGCTCAGGAATAAGGCTCTCTCAGGAAAAAAAGAAAAGGATAGGGCTGGGAGCCTTGAGGAGGGCAGCTTGCTGCAGAGGCCAACAGGTGTGGATTCCCATCCTGCTTTAGGCGGAGCCTCACTTTCCCCTGCTCTAAAATGGTACCAACAACCCTCACCCCAAAGGGTGGTGGGGAGAACGAGATGAGGGAATACCCATGTGCACCCCCACAAAGCCTGGCCCACGAGTCGACCGTAAACAATAGCCACGATTCGAGTCGATTTCAGGAACTTTTGGGTAACTTCCCTGTGTTTGTTCTGTTGTTGTGCCCCTCCCCCGCCATCTGTTTCCCCATCCTCATCAGTAAGGCTCCTTAAAACGAGAAGCATCTGTGGGAGGACATGGGGTGCTGCGCAAAAGAGGGAAGTTGGGGTCACTGCACCTAGCTGGTGGCCAGTTTTGGGGGTGGGGTGTCCCAAGACTGGGCAAGTGTCAGCAACTTGGATGAGAAGCAGAAAGTAAGTGAAATGGCTGGGACGTGACGGGGGACTCGCACCTTGTAAGATTTCTCTGCGAGATGTTCCCTTGAATGCCACCCTATTAGCCAATGTAGGGGATGGGGCAGAGAGGACCAGGAGCCCTCTGATTAGGAATGGACCTTATACCTCCCATCCAGTAGGTCATGGCTAAAACCAGAACCGGGCAAATGTTCAAACCAAGTGACATCAGCTAGCAAATTCAGGAGCCAGACCTTTGGTCAATACTTAAATCCTGAAGGTCTGACGCTGTGTAAGTCAAGTCATAGGAGAAAGCGCTGGCTGCCTTTGGCTTCCTGATGGCAAACAGCGCTCTTACATGCTTGGAAAATGCAGATAGAGTTTCATTTATCAATCGTCAAAATGGGTCCTTCATGGAGGCCCCATCTGCTAGACAGACACGCAGATCACTGCTGGACAGTGCCCGTGTGAACAGAAATGGAGTCTGGGGCTGGGCAGGGCCCTCCTGGGCTCACTCCTGTTCCCTGCAGGGCATCTGCCAGCAGAGGCAGGGATGTTGTGTGGGGAAGCCTTCCCTTTCGTGACCAGCTTCTCTGTCTGTCTGTCCCTAGGTGCCCAGGAGCTGGTGCGGATGGACAGGTAAGGGCCATGGAAATCTTCTTGAGAAAACTTCCCAGGCCAGTTGTCCAGGAGGAGATACTTCTGTGCAGTAGGGCCCCTGTTTAGCTGCCTAGTGCAGCTGTTCAGAGTCTCTGCCATCTGCTGCTGAAGGCTGCACATCTGTGCGGATTGGCTGTTCTCCTGCCACCCCCACCCAGTGGGCTGAGCTCTGATTCTGTCAGATGTGTCATGCACCCACCTTCAGGTCTCAGTGGTCAGCCTGCGCCAGGAAAGGGACAGAGAGGAAGCAGCTGATCTGGAGCAGACAGTGAAACATGCAAAGGAGGCCAGCAGGCCCAGTCCCAGCCACACCCCTGGAGCTGCGCCTCCTGCCCGCAGAGAACTCCAGGAAGAAAGCCTGTCTGCAACCCAGCTAGCATCTCAGGTTGCAGCGGTCTTCAGAAGTTATCCCACTCCCAACCGGGAAAAGAAGAGAACCCCTTCCCTCAGCTCAAGACAGGCTTTGGGGATGTTCGATCCTCATGCAATCAACTCTACTGACCAAAGAGAAACTTGTCCCCAAATTCCTGAGGCTGAAGTCCTGGTTCTGATTTTCGGCTTCCTAGCCATGCCCGGGGCTGACGGTCAGACCATGGGGAGGAGCTGGGGTCTGCTCTGGTGGGCCCTGATGCCCTCGGCTCAGGGCAGGTGGGCAGGTGCAGCTCGTGGCCATTGCTCTGTGGGTCTGGCTTCTGCCTTCTTGCTTGGGGATGGGGATGTAGGTGAGAGGAAGGAAAGAGAGAAAAGCCGCAGGGAGAGAGGGCAGAGCTCATACTCCAGGCAGCACAGATGACCTTCCATTCTGATTCTGTGGCAGCAACACTCAAGGGATAGAAAACCCTGGCTTTGAGGCCTCATCACCCACCCAGGGAATACCCGAAGTCAAGGTCAGGCACCCGCTGTCCTATGTGGCCCAGCGGCAGCCTTCGGAGTCTGGGCGGCATCTGCTTTCGGAGCCTGGCACCCCCCTGTCTCCTCCTGGTCCCGGGGACGTCTTCTTCCCATCCCTGGGTAAGTGTTTTCTGATCTTCACAGCACCATGACCTGTAAGGTCATGGCCCCATGGCCTGCAGGGTGTCAGCCTCACTCCCCACCCTCCCTGGGGAGTTCTACAGCCTCATGGAGTGGGGTTGAGGGGTGAGGGACAGAGGAGCTCCCATTCACTTTGCTTCTCCTTTTTCTTTTTTGCAGACCCTGTCCCTGACTCCCCAAACTTTGAGGTCATCTAGACCAGCTGGGGGACAGTGGGCCATTGTGACTGGGTCTGGGGCAGGTGGTTCGAGCCAGAGCTGGCTCTGTGAGTGGCCTCCTTGGCCTTGGGCCTGGTTCCCTCCCTCCTGCTCTAGGCCCAGATGCTGCGACATCCCAGAAGCCCAGACCCTCAACCCCTCTGGATGCTACATGGGGATGTTGGATGGCTCAGCCCCTGTTCCAAGGATGTTGGTGTGCTGAGATTCTCCCCTACAGACATGAAATTCACCAGCTACAGATGCCAAATGACTTACATCCTAAGAAGTCTAGAAGGTCCAGCCTTGCAGCAGCCTCTCACTCTGAGACATGAGCCTTGGGATGTAGCAGCATCAATGGGACGAAATGGACACTGGGCCACCCTCCCAGGCATGAGACACAGGACATGGGTGGAGAGACTCCTTCCCCATGGCTGCCTTGGCTCCCCCATCTTGTCTGAGGCTGCTCTTCAGTCAGACTCCCTCTGTGTACCATGGTGGCTCTGGGACCAGGCCTGCCTGACCAGTGGCCATTGCCACCTTCCCCAGCTGCCTCCTACCAGCAGTTTCTCTGATGACCTGTCAACAGGTTAGCCAATCTGGGGCTTCCACTGCCTGCATTCCGGTCCCCAGAGCTCAGTGGTCCTAAAACAGGAAGTACATCTTGGGGCATGGTGGCTACTGTGAGCAAATGGTGTCTTGGGCAATCTGAGGCCAGGCCAGATGTTGCATCACTCACCGGAGATGGCGGTGAGGGAGGTGGGTGGGGCCTTCTAGGAAGGTGAGAGTAGGGGGCACCTGTCCCCGCCCTCCCCATCCCCTATTCTTGCTGTTCATTGTGGGCCATAGCAAGGGTGCCACAGAATATCTTGTCCACCCTGGGACACGTCTGAGTTTGAAGTGGGATGCTATTAAAAACTACATGGGGCAACAGGTGCAAACCCTGTGGATGGATTGTAAGAGCCAGTTAAATCCGCACTCTGCTGCTCCTCCCACACTCCCACCTTCCACTCCATATACTAAGTCTGGTGGAGTCTTCATGGCAGAGAGACCCGGCCAGGTGGGGGTGATGTTCTCCCATCTCCCGCTTGCAGGCATGCCCTGGATTTGTTTTTATACACGTAGGCAAGGATAGTCCTTTGTGGAATTGTGAATGAAGGATTTTAAAGCAGGGGAGGAGAGTGGGAGGCATCTCTGCACACTCTGGGAGTAAAACAGGGAAGGCAGTGTCTGAGCATGGGGACAGGGGAGGTGGGGCTGGGCAGACCCTCTCTAGCATTGAGCTGGGCATGGGTGCTGAAAGCCAGGATTTGGGGCTAGGCAAGGGGCCAGCAGGCAGGGAGATGTCCACCGAATTGCTTGGAGGGTCAAGGGGATGGGAAGGGGCAGCAACTCTAGGCTGTCTGGCAGCAGTGAGCCCTGGGCCTGTGACTACAGCCAGGGAGCCCCACCGGCACACATGGCCCTGCCTCCAAGTCCCCCACTTAGGCCCAAAGGAATGGGCCACTGAGGGCCTCCTGCTATGCCTGGGCTGGGCTGGGGGCCTTGAGGAGAAAGTAAACACAGGCCTGGAGATGGGACTGACACTTCAGGTGGCCAGAACACCCAAACCCTGGCTTCTCCTTTGTCCCTGGGCAGAGAGGGGGGACCCCTTCTTTTATTTCCTCTGTCACCATTGATGCTTGATGCCAGCTGCCACAGGAAGAGGGTGCTGGCTGGGTACAGTGGCAGACACCTGTCATCCCAGCACTTTGCAGGGCTGAGGTGGGAGGATCGCTTAAGCCCAGGTGTTCGAGGCTGCTGTGAGCCGTGTTCAAGCCACCGCATTCCAGCCCGAGGGACGGAGCAACACCTTGCCTCAAAACGAATTTTAAAAAGAAAGAATGAAGGAAAGAGAGTGTGTTTTTGACAATTTGCAGGGCAGGAGTGGGGATGAGATGCCTGCTCCCCCTGGAGTCGAAGGACAAGCCCACAGCCCAGATTCTGGTTCCCCTAACTCAGGAAAAGCGTGCCCTGTCCTTTAGGGAGGCTGGCCTGGTCCCAGCACTCAGCTTCTGACCTCGAGGCAGAGAAAACTTCTAAGAATTTGGCTGCCAGACCCCAGGCCTAGCTGCTGCTATGTGGAGAGGGAGGCGGCCCGCAGTAGAGCAGCCGCCACACTTCCTCCCCAGCTTCCTCTGGTGCGGCCCTGCCCTCTCTTCTCTGGACCCTTTCACAGCTGAACGCATCTGGGCTTCGTGGTTTCCTGTTTTCAGTGAAATTTACTTTGAGCTCCCAGTTCCATTGTCATCCATGGTCACAGGCCCTGCCTGCAGTGTGCTAGGGACACCATGCCTGCTGCTGCCAGGGAGGGGCAGGCTGCTGAGTCGCCTGGGATGGTGGTGCCCCTGATGCCAGCCCTGGTGGCTATGGGCTGGGGTGCACAGGAGAGCTGGGTGCGAGAACATGGCGCCTCCAAGGGGTGGGAGGAGCACTAGGGCCTGGGGAAGGGCGGGGCTGGGGCAGGAGGCTCCTAGAGCGCTGGATTCTTGGCCCGGTGCTTTTAAGAAAAAATTCAAGGCCGGGCGCGCGGTGGCTCACGCCTATAATCCCAGCACTTTGGGAGGCCGAGGCGGGTGGATCACGAGGTCAAGAGATCGAGACCATCCTGGTCAACATGGTGAAACCCCGTCTCTACTAAAAATACAAAAAATTAGCTGGGCATGGTGGCACGTGCCTGTAATCCCAGCTACTCAGGAGGCTGAGGCAGGAGAATTGCCTGAACCCAGGAGGCGGAGGTTGCGGTGAGCCGAGATCGTGCCATTGCACTCCAGCCTGGGTAACAAGAGCAAAACTCCGTCTCAAAAAAAAAAAAAAAAAAAAAAAATTCAGTGTTAGGAGATCAATCGGGAATTAGGAGCCATCTTACCTATCTCCCGACATTCACATTTTAATAGAGACTTCCTGCCTTTCTTTCCTCGCAGGGAGAGGCTGAGGGAATGGAATTGGAAGCACCATTAAGAGTGGTTTGCTGACGCAGCCAGGGCTGCTCGGCACTCCCTAAAAACACACCATGGAGGCCACTGGTGTCTGCTGGTGGGCAGGCTGGCCCTGCCTGGGGGAGTCCGTGGCAATGGGCACTGGGGTGGGCATGTGGGAGCCCTGGGACTGCTTTTCAAAGACTCCTGCCTGGTTGGAGCTCCTGCTCCATGCAGCAGCCAGGGCCTGGGCAGAGGGGCTGATGCCTGGCCTTCTTCAGGGGGTACTCCTCGGTGGGTAGACTTGGAAGGATCAGTGGGGCGGGGGGCTGCAGTTGGTACACCACCCTGTACCAACTTGGCCCCTGGGGTCCTGTGTCATGAATGAGGCCCTCTTGGGTGTTGGTTGGGGCACCCCAGGGCTGGCCTGACTGTGCTGGGGGCTGGGGAACCGCAATGGGCAAAAGAGGAACTGGGGTTGCTAACCAGGACGCTGGGAACAAAGGCCTCTTGAAGCACAGCCACAGCCCAGCTGAGCATGGGGTCCAGCCCACAGACAGCACAGGCCACCCGGCCCATTCCCTGGGCATTCCCTGCTTTGCAGTGCTGCTTCTCTTCACCTCGTGGATGCTACGTTGCCCTAACTATCCTGTGAATTCCGGGAGGGCAGGGTCCAGTTACAGCCTGGCTTTGGACCTTGCTGCAAGGCTGATAACTGACACATACATAGCTTCTGGGTCATGCGCTGCCCCAGATGCCAGGTTCTGTTCTTAGAACCTCTCTCAGTGGGTGGGGCCCCCTCTGACTTTCCATCAGCTCCAGCTCCTAGCAGCTTTGTGTGGGACTGGTGGGAACTCCTCAATAACAATAGTGCCCTCACCTTGTACATCGCCGGACAAACACTTGTGCAGTCCATGGGACAGACATTTTTTTTTCGTAATTCTCATCTATTGTTACGGCTTTCTGGAATATGTCAAGAGGGATTCTGAATGATCGATATAGCTTAGTGAGAAAGTGACAAGATAGATAGCAGTGTCCGCCTCAGGCACAGGAGAGGGAGGTGGCCACGTGTGTGCTGTCTCTTGGCCCTTTCTGTTATAATACTTGGTGCTAGCCGGGCGCGGTGGCTCAAGCCTGTAATCCCAGCACTTTGGGAGGCCGAGGCGGGTGGATCACGAGGTCAAGAGATCGAGACCATCCTGGTCAACATGGTGAAACCCCGTCTCTACTAAAAATACAAAAAATTAGCTGGGCATGGTGGTGCATGCCTGTAATCCCAGCTACTCAGGAGGCTGAGGCAGGAGAATTGCCTGAACCCAGGAGGCGGAGGTTGCGGTGAGCCGAGATCGCGCCATTGCACTCCAGCCTG